GATCAAGCTAAAACTTAAGAACCTGTATAGTAAACTAATACATAATACGCCATATATCTCATTAAAGGCATTTTCTCAAGGATTAAAAGAATCCCCTCAGCTTCTATATTTGTTTGTACAATTGGATAATTATTGATTTTATAGAAGCAGAACTGTATGGAGGCAAATATGACTCCCTGAATTATTTTTCCACTGTGGAGAGCAATGAAATCAATTAAAGACAGCTCATCTTTTAATAAACATCCAAGATAAAACTTAAAAACATTTTTCACCAGTGATTTACATCCAATACATGCTAATATCTTTTTCATTAGATTTAGATATGGCTTGAAAGTATCCAGCTGTAGATCTAAATGTGAAAATATTAATATTATTCTTATAACCCCTGGAATTCTTTAATTATATTTCTGCTGGATCATTTTCATTTCTGTCCTGTTTTAGGCATGCTTTGAATTTTGCAACAAGCCATGCTTCCAAACAGCACTGCTTCTCAGACTTTAAATGATTGGGATAAACAACCACAAAAAACAAACCAACCAACCCAGATTCTTACAAGTTGGTTTTTAGCCTGGAAAACAGTTGATAAAAAACAGTAGAACCTCCCATGTTGGAAGGCAGAAACTGCAGGAAGAGCCTGGAGAAACAAATGGTGGAGTTAATTGTAGGCAAACTCGGAGATCGTGATCAGCAGAACAATTTAAACACCCAAGTTCAGAATCATGAGTGCAAAGGAGAAGGGGGAGGTGACCAAAATGTAACATGATGCCTCCGAAGCAACATTTTTCTGCTATGTTGTACAACAAAGGCAAAATGAGACAAAAGTAGAAAAAGAAGGAAAAGCAAGTAAAAAGATTAAAACATATGTAGTTTTAGGACATTGCACACATACTATGGTTGCTTCAGCTCCCTTATTCCCTCCGAACTGTGAATCTAGCAGGAAAGAGATTTTTTTTTTAAAAAAAGTACACTAATTAGCTGAAGGCATCTTGAAGGACCACCCTATCCAATAACAAATTTGTAGTTGTGATTTGTTTCAGTAGAACTGACCATCATCAAATATGGAAATTGGTCACAGCAGTTCTGTTGGTCACTTTGTTGCACGCTATAGAAATTCACGGAGAAGCACGAGAGGAAAAAGAGCACATGGGGACATGCTTGTAAGCATCAAGAAGTTCAGCTGCTATCAGCATTAATGAAAGTCAGAAGGAGACCAGAGAAATCAATATTGCAAAGCCAGACTTGCTCTTATCTGGGGAAAGAGAAAATGTGCTCTGTTGGGAAGTAATTGTCTCTTCTGCCCTTAATAAAAGAAATCATGCCTTCCTGCAAAGGGACCCAAACAAAAAGTGCAACTGAAAACCAACATCCCTTAATAAATGACAAATGCCTTGGGGCAGAAGATGGGAAGGAAAATTAAAATTTGTATGTTACATTAGGTATAAAGTCAAGCCAGTTTGGTCTAGTGGTGAAGGCACCAGGCTAGGAACCAGGAGTTCTAGTCCCACCTTAGGCATGAAAGCTGGCTGAGTGACTTTGGGCCAGTCCCTCTCTCTCAGCCCAACTCACCTCACAGGGCTGTTGTGGTGGGGAAAATAGGAGGAGGAAGGAGTGCTAGATTTGTTCATAATAAATAATAATAAAGGCGGGATTAAAAAATCTAAAAAAAAAAAAAAAAC